AATTAACAGAAGGACTAACGGAGTGCATTTCTTGTAGTTGAGGGATCAAAAAAGTGCAAAAAATTGTTAAGGGACCAAAAATGTGCAAACCACTATAGTTGAGGGACCAAATTAAGCATTTAACCTAAAAAAAATTATTTTAATAGGTTATGAGGTAGTTTGATTTTGGATTATCGAGATTTAATATAATATTTTAACATCGAAAAATTAGTAAAAAACTAAAAAAAGAAAAAACTGGGGAAATCAAATCTATGACATGCACGTACCTATTTACATGGGAGGAAGAGAAGAAACAAGGCAACGTCGGAATCCTATCCTGTTCCGGTGAAATCTGTGCGGTTTTGCCCAAGAGAGAGAAGTTGAAGGTGGAGGGTAAAAGGAGGAAGGCGGGAAGTGGGTGGTGTCGTTTAGCGGCGGAAACGTACGCATGTGTTGGGCGGGGAGACAGTGCGCCCCACGAGCCACGACCGTTTGTGACCCGCTTGTCTCCGTTCAACCGGGCAGCGGTTTGCCGGTACACCCCATACAAATTCCCTATTTTTTTTTTTCGCCAGCCACCTCATACAAAATCTTCGCACGTGCCATTTGTACGTGCTTCCAGCTTCAATTCCATATTTCCTTGCTATTACCCTTTTTACAATATTCAGTTGGAAAGTTTCAAGGTTACTCTTTCTTTTATATATATATATATATACATATATATGGATTACTCGATATTTGGAAAGTCATTGGTCACTAACTAATTTGGAAAGTTATTGGGTCATTAACTAATTTGAATTCGAATTGGACAATACTCAATGGGCAACAAAACTCTTCCTCACGAGTTTTAACAGAATTGCATTCCTAAACCTTAAAACCAAGACTTCTAGTTTAGTTAAAAGAGTCTCCTGTCAACTCATCCACCCGCTTGTGAATAAAATTACTCTTTTTATAATAAAATAACACATATAACTTTGAATTTATTAATAAATAAATATTATTTTATAAATTAAATTTAGTACTTAAATATTTTGGTTAATATTTAAAAAAAATTAATTTTTTAAATATATCAAGTTGATTTGAAAATACATATTTAAGATTGCTCAA